CCCCCCCCCGATGACATTGTGGCCCCCCAGGGTTCTGCGGACCCGAGGTTGAGAACCAGTGGTTTAGGATGTAGCTTAAGGCGGTAACTCTTCCCTAATTTATGCCAAAACAAACAACATAGATGAGACTTACTTCAGAATAGATATGTTAAAACTTTTTGTATCCTCACAATTTCTTCTTTTCTTGTAGAATTGCTACCAATACTGCCAGAAAGCTGAAAGAACAAGGTAACTATTATATGAATGGAGAAAGTAACATTTCTCATTGAATTGTTGTGGAAGATTCTGTCTCTTTTTGCATAGTCTGTATGACCTAGAACACTGTTTTCAGACTTGTCAACTTTCAGATGTATGGACTTCAACTCCCTTCAACTTCTGGGAATTGAAGTCCACATCAAGTTTGAAAAACACTGGTTCACACAAAGAACATATTGGAAATGTGGTAAAAGCTGGTAATAAAAGATGCAGAGGAAAGGAGGAACATATTAAATATTAGACATCTGAAACACTGGCCCTGACAGGCATGCAGTAGCTTGCTGGAGAATTCTGGGAATTGAAGTCCATACATTTTAAAGTTGGCAAGTTTGAAAAACACTGAAATTATCCCCTACTATCCATCTGTTACAGTATGATTGAGTTGTCAGAAAGCTGTTAAGAATCTGTAAAACATAATATTCTTTCCTACTTTGATGTTCACTTTCCAGTTCCTTGTAGCTTCTTCTCCAGTCTCTCTCAGCTAAGTCAAAATGGTAGAATTATATAGGTTACCTACATAATTGTAGGTAACCTATACCTCCCCTCCAAGTGCATCATGGTATATCCCAAGTGCTTAACAGGGCCAATCTCAAAAAAAATTCCTCTGCAAAATTGGCTTGGGAATGAGTCTATTGCAGGGGAATACAACTTATTTATTTGTATCCTGCCTTTATTATTTTTACAAATAGGTCAAGGCCGCAAACATATCCAATACACCTTCCACCTTCTGTTTTCCCCTTAAACAGTAACCCTTTGAAGTGAGTAGGTCTGAGAAAAGGTGACTGGCCCAAGGTCAACAACTGGCTTTGATGGTTAAGGCAGAACTAGAACTCACCGTCTCCTGGTTTCTAACCTTGTGACTTAATCACTAGCTCAAACTGACTCTTTAATAGCCTTATAAGCCCAGGCTTGGCGCCGGACAACTGGGAGGGATGGACAGCTGGGAGGGAAGAGTGGAGGTGCCGGAGGTCCGAGGCTGACTTGTCGTGCCTCCCTTCCTGGGTACAGTAGTTGTGCTGTTCCTAGCTAGCTGTTCCTAGCTAGGAAAAGATGATATTAGGAGGATAGAGAATCTCCTCTTCCATTGAAATGGAATCCATGTAGAAATGCAATGTTTGTGAGTAAAGTTGTGTGTGAATGTATGCAGCGTTTGGAAGCGACGGGGCAGCAAGTGAGGGAGTGTATGAGCAAATGGTGTTTGTAACTGACGGGGTAGTATGTGTGGGAGTGAATGAGCAAATGGCGTTTGGAAGCAATGGGGTAAATGGTGTTTGGAAGCGATGGGGTAGTACGTGTGGGAGTGACGGGGCGATGGAGCCTTTTGGAAGCAACGGGCAGTATGTATGGGAGTGAATGAGTGAATGTGTGGGAGTGAATGAGTAAATGGTGTTTGGAAGGACGGGGTAGTAAGCGAGGGAATGAATGAATAAGTAAACGGCATTTGGAAGCAAAGGGCAGCAAGTGAGGGAGTGTACAAGCAAATGGCGTTTGCAACTGACGGGGTAGTATGTGTGGGAGTGAATGAGCAAATGGCATTTGGAAGCAACGGGGTAGTAAGTGAAGGAGTGAATGAGCAATCGCGAGGCAAAATCTGGAGTAGGAGTGCTGGAGTGAGGAGGAGTGCTGGAGGAGTAATACCTCCTTAAAAAACCTTGGTCCAGCTGGCCCGGCTGGTAGCACCTCGTAAGGGCCCCTTTCCAGGGTTACAGGAGAAGATGGCCAATGGTTTTGAAGGCGAGAGAGAGCTTTATGCCTCAACAGCGGATAAAGCGGCAGAACCATCTTCCAGGAGAAGGGAAACTCTGATTTCAAACCTCCACTGCCTTATGGCTATATCTACTATTGGAAAAGGCTTCAGGAGTTAGAAATACCCTACTAGGATTCATTACTCCACCTGCTGCTGGAAGTGAAAGAATTCTGTCCTTGCAGCTACACTCATCAGCAGGATTGGTTACTCTTATTAGCGCATATGCACCTACATTATCTTCAGTAGAATCCAAAGACAAATTCTACGATGATCTGGCTGCTATTATCAAGAAAATCCCTGAGAAAGAACCACTGTTTATCCTTGGCGACTTTAATGCCAGAGTTGGAGCTGATTATAGTTCTTTTGCCCACTTGCCTAGGTCAGTTCAGCGTCGGGAAGATGAACAAAAATGGCCAACGCCTGCTGGAGTTCTGCTGCTACTACAGTTTTTGTGTTAACAATACATTCTTTAAAACAAAGCCTCAACACAGTGTCTCCAGGAGACACCCAAGATCGAAGCATTGGCACCAGCTCCACTTGATTCTTACCAGGCGCTCCAACCTTCCCAGTGTTACAATCACACGTAGCTATCAGGGTGCTGATTGTGATACAGATCACTCCTTGGTGCACAGCAAAATAAAACTGAAAATAAAGAGACTGCATCACTCGAAGAAGGAAGGAAGACTACGTATCGATACTAGCAAGACCCGCAATCAGGGCAAAGTGGAGGAATTTGCACAAGCACTAAAGGAGACTCTCCCAGGCCCGGCTGAAGCAAATGCATCTGAACATTGGGTATATTTCAAGAACGCTGTTTATAACACCGCTCTGTCAATATTTGGTAAGGAGATCAGAAAGACAGCAAATTGGTTTGAAGCCCATTCGGATGACCTGACGCCAGCCATCAAGGAAAAAAGGAGAGCTTTAATTGCATATAAAGCCTGTTCCAGTGAGCGCAACCTACGGGTTCTGCGAGCTGCGTGTAGCAAAGTCCAACAGACCTCCAGGAGATGTGCTAACAACTATTGGCTGCAGCTTTGCTCTCGGATCCAGATAACAGCTGACACAGGCAACATCAAGGGGATGTACAATGGCATTAAGCAGGCCTTAGGTCCAACACAGAAGAAATCTGCCCCTCTGAAGTCTGCCACAGGCGAGGTTATCCAGGACCGAGCACAGCAGATGGCACGCTGGGTACAGCACTACTCCAAGTTATATTCCAGAGAAAATGAGGTAACTGAAGAAACATTAAATAATATTGAGTGCCTGCCTGTCTTGGAGGAGCTTGACAGTGAACCAACTTTAGAAGAATTAAACGTGGCTTTGGACTCCCTTGCCTCCAGCAAGGCACCCGGGAAAGATAACATCCCTGCCGAAATTCTGAAGTGCTGCAAAGAGAGCATCCCCATTGAATTGCACAAAATCTTCTGCCTTTGTTGGAGGGAAGGTAGAGTACCACAGGACATGAAGGATGCAAATATCGTCACACTGTATAAGAACAAAGGCAATGGGTGATTGTAACAACTATTGCGGCATCTCTCTTCTTAGTGTTGTAGGGAAGTTGCTTGCCCGTGTCATACTGAAGAGGCTCCAGGTGCTTGCAGAGAGAGTCTATCCAGAATCACAGTGTGGATTCCGAGCCAACAGGTCCACCATTGACATGGTGTTTTCGCTTAGACAGTTGCAGGAGAAATGCAGGGAACAAAGACAGCCACTTTTCGTAGCCTTCATAGATCTTACGAAGGCTTTTGATTTGGTTAGTAGGGACGGCTTATATAAAATTCTCCTCAAGATTGGATGTCCACCTCAGCTCCTCAACATCATCAGGTCCTTTCATGAGGATATGAAGGGCACTGTTGTTTTTGATGGCCTAACATCAGATTCCTTTGACATTCGAAGTGGAGTGAAGCAGGGCTGCATCCTTGCGCCAACTTTATTTGGGATCTTTTTTGCTGTCATGCTGAAACACGCTTTTGGAACTGCAACAGAGGGTATCTATCTCCAGACCAGATCAGATGGTAAACTCTTTAATCTCTTTAGATTGAGAACAAAGTCTAAAGTCCAGCTGAAATGCCTACGGGATTTCCTCTTCGCTGACGATGCTGCTGTTACTGCTCACTCTGCTGAAGATCTTCAACAACTTATGGACTGTTTTAGTAAGGCCTGCCAAGACTTTGGTTTAACAATTAGCCTGAAAAAAACACAAGTCATGGGTCAGCATGTGGATCCATCTCCCTGTATTACAATCTCTGCACAGGAACTGGAGGTTGTCCATGACTTTGTGTACCTTGGCTCAACTATCTCTGACACTCTCTCTTTAGATACTGAGCTGAATAAACGTATTGGTAAAGTGGCCACTACATCTTCCAGACTTACAAAGAAAGTATGGCTTAATAATAATAAGTTGACAGAACATATAAAAATTCAGGTCTGTAGAGCCTGCGTCTTGAGCACACTCTTGTACTGCAGTGAGTCTTGGACACTTCATGTACTGCAGGAAAGAAAGCTGAACTCCTTTCATATGCACTGTCTCCGACGTATTCTCGGCATCACCTGGCATGACAAAGTCCTGGAATGTGCTGGAATCTCTAGTATGTATATACTATGAAACAGCGACGTCTATGCTGGCTTGGGCATGTCATGAGAATGGTCGACGGTCGGATTGCGAAAGATCTCCTGTATGGAGAACTAGTGCAGGGAAAGTGCCCCAGAGGGAGACCTGAGTTGCGATATAAGTATATCTGCAAGAGGGACCTAAAGGCCTTGGGAATGGACATTAACAGCTGGGAATTCTTGATCTCTGATCGTTCAGCCTGGAGGCTAAAGACGCAGCATGGCCTTCTCCAATTCGAAGAGACACTTGTGCGGCAGGCTGAGGCAGTTCCAGAACCAGCGAAATCTGGGGGCTGGACAGGGGACAGATTGTATCTGCCCTCAGTGTGGAAGGGACTGCCATTCTCAAATTGGCCTTTTTAGCCACACCAGATGCTGCCTTAGGTCCTCTTTCCAGAGTACGATACCATAGTCTCTCGAGACTGAAGGATGCCAACCAAGCCCAGGGACTCTGACACTTTTTACTGTATCCTGAGGATACCTTTTTTGCCAATATAAAGCAGGAGAAAAAAAATTAAAAAACCCTGTAATATATGTTTAACACTGTTAACAAATATAATCCAAATATCTGCAAACAGCAAAAAAAGAGAGAGAAAAATCTGAAAATTTAATGCTTCAGTCATTTAGCTTCACTCATTTTGCATTGTTGCCCATTCATGCAAACTGCCCTCCCCAACACCATTACATGTTGCACATACACTAAGAGACTACCCAGTTTTGTGTGTGTGTGCGCGTGTGTGTGTGTGTGTGTGTGCGTGCCCAGTTGCCCTTGTGGCCCATGCACCTTTTTGTTATCTACATTATAATTTGGATCATTCACTTGAGCAATTTGCAAGTGCTTAGGAGAGCAAGGTTTTTATTGTGTGATCTTGGCTGCCATCTTGACTTTTTTGACACCCTTCCTGCAGTCACTTCTACCAGTGAAGAATGGAACAAGCAACAGAAATGGAAGTTCCTAGTTCTTAACTTGTGTAACTTATTTCTGCTGTTTGAGCATGTTAATGCTGTTGCGATGCATTTTTCTCACTGCCTCTATCAGTGTTGAATGGAAAGAAATGGGGAAGGGCCAGGCATGTTTCCCATTGACAAATTGTTTGCAAATTGCCCCAGTGTTTCAAGCAAAAGTGTGCAACCTGTTTCCTGTGGGCTCCTTTGAGTGTGGTCTCAGAGCTCTTGTAAAATCTGCTGTCAAAATTGTAGTTTTTGAGATGCTTGAATGGGAAAATCATCACATTCCCAGAGTATAATTGTAGTAATTGCATTGAATTAATTTCATACAAACATATTTAGTTTTGGTTTAGCTCCACCTACTTATTTATTCTGCCTATTTTGGGAGCCTATCACTCAAGGTCCTCCAGTTTAGAAAGCTGAGAGCACCTAGAGTCAGATAGATGGGAAGAATGCCGGCAGCACTCTTAATTTTTCAAGAAAACTGTGGGTAAGAAGAGAATAGCTTGTAATAAAACTCAGCTCCTGATAAGATTGTTTTGGATGGTTACTTGGGCCTTCTCCCTTAATCCTGCTTCTTTAAACTGATGTTGGGAATTGTGGATTGTATATTTAGCCTTGAGGCTTTGATGTACGTTGTCTCTGCTAGACCAGTGTGTCTTGTTTCTCTGGTTCTCACATTTGTTTTTCAGGATGAGGGCCTTAGTCTCAGAAAACAACCTGCTCCTCTTTGCTTTCTCTCCACTGGTTTTTGTTTTCCTGATATAATCCTCTTTTTTTCCTCTAGAAGGTATCTTAGTGGATGCAATCATCCTGGAGGCTGCTTATACCACCATCCGGGATGCAGCTGCCAGCATCCCACTAACAACAGTAAGTCTTGGCACTCTTGTTTTTAGTTCCATATATACATTCTTTATGTAGCAGCATGCCAGGCTGTGGTGAGAATATGTGCCTGGCTCACTTGAACTGTGAGATCTCCTGCAGTTGGGTCCACCTAGGGGACTGGATTTATGTGTTATGCAATCTGGATTTATGTGTTCATGCAGAAGAGAAAATAGATATCAGAACACAACTAGAAGAAGGAAAAGGAATTGAGTCCTTTCAGATGTTGCTGAACAAAAACTCTGACCTGCCGTAGACTTTATAGCAATGAAGAATGCTGGGAATTGTAGTTCAGCAGCCATTAGGTCATCACATTTACATTCCAAGGATCTTCCATATTGTATGAAACACAATTAGCAAAAGAAAAAGGATTCCTGATAGGAAGACTAATGTATATTTCTCTGTTAATAGTCTTACTTTTATTATTAAGAACAAAATAGGTACTAGGCTTTTAGCATATACTGTATGTGATAACAACATATCCTTGAGTGAGGGAGTGCTGCATCTTGTCCTCAAGAAACCATTACTCAATGCAGATTATCTGTCTCCTACCTTTTCTTTGTGGGGAAAATTGTTGAGAAAACAGTGGGGGTTGCAGCTGCAGAGAGCCCTGGAAGAAACAGGTTATACAGACCTATTTCAAGCAGGTTTCAGACCTAGTTATGGCACAAAGACCACATTGATCACACTTGGTAGTTGATCTCTGGCAAAACTGGCATGGGGGAATCAGACTATTCCAGTGTTGCTTGAGCTGAATGAGGTCATCTGCTGACACGATATCAATCTTATTTCTTTACTTCTCAGATCAGCCAAGTGATGCTGATGCCGGAGGTCATTAGGGTCTGGTTGAGGAAGAACAAGTGGAGGCTTAATTTTATCAAGATACAGTAGAATGGCTCTGCATTCATAAACCATTTCAGTCTGGAGAGATTCCATCTTTAGTTCTGAATGATATTGCATTCCTTACATAGACCTGGACCATAATTTGAGGGTCCCCCTGTACTCACAGCTGCTGCTTGAGCAGGTGGCAGCATTGGCCAAGAAGCCTTTCACATATTTCCACCTTCTGTTCCTGTTACAATGTCCCTTGGAGTGGGAGACTTTACAATGGCCCTTGGAATGGGAGATTAAAATTTATGTCTTAATCATCTCTTGTTGGAATGCACTCTACATGGGTTTGCAATTGAAGAGCATTGGGAAGATATAGCTACTCCAGAATGCAGCAATTCAAGTAGTTATGTGAATGCTTTGATATGCCCATATACAACAAAAAATCCTAGGGGTGGAAGGGACCTCAGAGGTCTTCTAGTCCAACCCCATGCCTAAGGCAGAAAACCTTATACCATTCCATTAATTAACTGTTCTCACTGTCAAAAAAAAATCTCCTTATTTCTAGGTTGGATCTCTCTGGTACTTCCAATTTTTTTTTTGTTCAATTATACGTTTAATTTTGCTTTTCATCTGAATCTGTGAAGATGGGAATTGCATGCTGCTCAGAGTCAGTTTCACTGAAGTGGCACATAATCATTGTAAACAAACAACTAAATCAAGATATTTCTTATAGCAGTTGACAAAAGAGTTTTCAGGAATGGAAAATATCTTTTTTTGTTTTCTTTTACCAGATCTACCGCAAGTTTCCTGGCTTTGAATATTTCATTTTGGACACCATGGCCCGAGCTGACATGTTCTTTCTGAATGACGAAAAGTGAGTTCAGAATTACACAGTCCCAAATTACGTGGAAGATAATCAGGTTCTGGAATAAGTTGCCCTTTACTATTCTGACTTTATGTTGCAATCAAATGATAGGCTTGGTTTGCTTCTTTGAAACTGGTAGATCCAGTGGCATTTGCACGGAGGGACAGATTGACAAGTGTTACTATGCCAGCCCTGCCCCTTCTCTATGCATGCAGAGATATTACACACTTGTCCAAAAGAGGGAGATGTTGTGATATGATGCCACCTCTGCTTTCATCAGTGTGACAAAAGCAACAAGATCCTGCAGACACTCTTGGTTGAATAAGGTAGCATCTGAAGGCATGGATTCCGCAATTTGCCTGCTGGTCCTATTGATGTACAACATTTGTGATATTCAGGAGAGGAGGAATAGAGAAGAGTCAGATAGATTTTGATGAACTCAGATGGGAGATAGGCTTGACCAGTGATTTGAAATCCACTGTCTGGAAAGGGAAAAGTATTCAGGAGAGGTGGGAAATTCAGGGTAATGGGATACTGAAGGCACAACTGCAAATATGTTGTACTATTGTAGAAAGAAAAACGAGTGACTTTTAAATTTTTTTAAAGATTTCTAAAGTCTTTTCCTAAGTTAACATCTCCTACAAGGTTGAGAAGTCCTTGGTGCTCTCTGAGTTTGGTTGTTTCCTTGCAGACGTTTCATTACCCAACTTAGGAAACTAGTAGCACTGATGATGTTACTTAGTTTGAGTAATGAAACATCTGCAAGAAAACAACCAACCTCAAGAGAGCACCAAGGACCCCTCATTTCAACTCTGAGCTACAAATATTCTCCCTTATTAGACCTATAAAGGTGGATCTCTCTCCATCTTTGGAGAGAAAGAGCTACGTAGTCCTATAACTTCATGGGCTACTTTGCCAGGAATCAAAGGCTGACAGCCCACAATCGCTTAAGGTTTCATTAATGGTTAGAAATGTTACTCAACTGCTTGGAATAAAATTTTTGATTGAAAAGCAGGATGAAGATATCCAAAAATAGTCGAACTGAGCTAAAACGTTGTTTTTCTTGTCTATAGTGTCAAAGTGTTATCTAGTCCTATTTTGATCTTGCATTCAGAAGATGACAAGATGATACCTATACAACAAGGAAGAAAGGTACCTAAACAGTAACTGCAGCGAATTACTCTTTTAAAAGTGTACATACAAAGGGATAATATACAAAAAAAATGTAGAGATCACTCTTTCTATAGAAATAAGCTACACAACTGGAAAGTCACTGCGTATATTAACAGGTTTTGTTTTACTGCTAATTGTGAATTATACTTTTGCAACATGCATCATCAATATAGTTTTATGTTTTCATAGCAGTCTTGGGGGAAAAAACCCAAATGGCACATCTTTGGTCATTTGTGAAATGTTCTAGTACTAGAAAAAAGAGGATTCTCTTTTCTTCCTCAGTGTAGATCAGTCATTATAAAATTCAGGTCTTCCTTTTGTGAGATAGCAATACCACTTAGATTTATATCCTGCCCCACAGTGCTTTACAGCAAAGGTCACCAGCCTTTTCATTCTGGTGACCTGCAGGGAAAAGGAGCAGCTGGGAAATTTGTGTGCACCCGTACCCACGTGCACGAGGCCGCGCACATCCACATGGTGCTAGCAGCCCTGTTTGCGCATGCATGTGCTAGCTGCCACCGCTGATAGGAGCACCTGTGCACATGCACAAATGGGCCCTACAACCCGCATGGCGCTAGCGGTCCCATTTGTGCATGTGCTAGCTGCTGCTGCTAGCACCTGCACACATGCGTAAATTGGCCGCGCAACCAACATGGCACTAATGGCCCAATTTGCGCATGTGTGCAGGTGCTAGCCACCGCTAACCCCACGTGCATGCCCAAATGGGCCGTGCTAGCCCCACACAAATGCGCAAATTGGTCCGCAGGCACTAACGCGAGTGGGGGTGAGTGCACGCACACATGTGCACGCACTGTCCCGCCTGTCTCATGGCCTTCTGGCCAGTAGGCAACGGCCCAGTAATGGCCCGTGGCCCATAGGTTGGGGACCCCTGCTTTACAGCATTCTCTGAGTGGTTTACAGAGTCAGCATATTGCCTCCAACAATCTGGGTCCTGATTTTACTGACCTCAGAAAGATAGAATGCTGAGGCAACCTTGAGGTGGTCAGGATTGAACTCCTGGCTTTGGGCAGAGCCAGCCTGCAATACTGCATTCTGACCACTGTGCCAGCAGGGCTTATCAGGGTTTTCCTTTAGTAATTCCCTTTAAACCATTGTCCTAAATCCTTGGTAACGTAGCCATATCCTGAACAAACAGAGCATCCCATCTTTTATTTGAAGAGACAATTCAGCTTCCAGTGGGCCACCCATCTCACCACAGGGTAATTGTCATTAATGGTGTGAGAGGGTAGAGTTATTATCTTGGGGACTTGTAGAGCCTAGTAAACCACCATAACTAGTAGCTCCCAGCAACTTGGCCAAGGGTGGGAGCTTGGGAACTGGTGGAGCCCAAATCATACAGGTAGTCTTTGACTTACAAACATTTGTTTAGTGACCATTCAAAGTTACAGTGGCACTGAAAAAAGTGACTTAATGACCATATCTTACACTTATGACCATTGTAATATCCCCACAGTCAAGTGATCAAAATTGGAGGGTTGGCAGCTGGCATGTATTTATGATGGTTGCAGTGTCCCGGAGTCACGTGATCACCTTTTGCAACTTTCTGACAAGCAAAGTCAATGGGGAAGCCAGATTTACTTAACAACTGTGTTACTAACTTAACAACTGCAGTGATTCACCTAACAACCTTGGCAAGAAAGGTCATAAAATGGGGCAAAATTTACCATCTTTGCTTAGCAACAGAAATTTTAGGTTCAATTGTGGTCATAAGTCAAGGACTACCTATATTTAATTCCATTCTTAAGGGGAAAAAAATCAGTTGTGCAGCAGTACTTACAGTCCACTTGGAGATTCATTCTCACTCCTCTTTTTCTACATGCACAGCTTTTTGAGATCACATACAGTGCCTCTGAGAAGAAAGACAACATCAAATTTCTTTCCTTCCCACCTTCCATGGGTTTGGGGCACGACCACATCTCCTCTCATCCCGAGGTCGCTTCCATTCTCAAGTAAGCACACTGAGCCAAGTTTATGCTACTGTTAAGACTTCTGTGAAAATAGTTTTCTCTTTTGATGCTTCAGTGGCTTGAAATAGAGAAGGACACAGAATACAGGCCAACCCAATATACTACAAGTGTGACTGTATTTATATTAAGCCATGATTCGCTTATCTGGGTTTACTGAATAAACCCAAAGGACAGAATCCATGGAATATATCAAGTGAAAATCCAAGCAACCACATTACGGTTTCATGTTATATAAATTTCACGTTTGTTATATAAACTAGGCCATAGTGCAGAAAATCCATTTTTAATGGCAAAATGTAGATTTTCTTCTTACCCGATTAAGAGTAGCTTAATCAAGCAGATGAGCTTGTGCTTCTGAGATTTCAAGAGAGAGGTCATTTTGGAAAGGAGTTCCAGCAGCAGTGGCTGAAAATTTATCATGCAATACTTCTGTCCCATGCATGCTCAAACTGGCCAATTGTTATTGCTACATACTGTACTGCTGTGACGGGGTTGGGGATGATGAATTTCAATGAATGGAAAAGTTCAGATGACCACCACTGAGTGGTGAGTGGGCTATTTATTTTTCTAGCCCCCGTTTAAAAAGCATTAGCAATAGTAATAGCACTTAAGCTTATATACTGTCCCATAATGCTTTACAGCACTCTCTACTTTAGTGTAGAAGCATTATTTGCATATTGACCCCAACAATCTGGGTACTCATTTTACCGATCTTGGAAGTCAACCTTGAGCCCCTTCAGGATTGAATTCTAGGCTGTGGGCAGAGTTTGCCTGCAATACTGCACTTTAACCACTGCATCACCAGGGCTTAAAAGATTATATTCAGATATATTATTGTTGTTTTGATGGTTTCTAATTGCTTAATATTTCATCCTTACCTTCTAGCTGCCTTAAGTTCCCTATCTGCAGAAAGGCAGGATATTATGTTGAAGGATGTGTGTGTAAAGCTTCCGCTGCCACAATTTGTACATAGTTTCATAATTTTTCTGCATAAAATATCCTACCCAAACCTGGCCAAGTGAATCAGACAATTTGAGCAGGAGGTTGATTTTATACGGCATCAAATCTAAAGAACATAAATTCTTTCTGTGTGTTCCACAACAGAGACTTCCTCAAGAGCATTACGTAGGATCAGCAATCAAGTAGACAGTGACTTTACAGCAACCTCAAGGAGACATCTGCTCTTGCCACGGATATTAAAATAACGAACAGTTCGAAGAAGAAAAAGTGGATTTCAGTTTATTTTATCAGGTGAAATTTGCAGGTGTACATTACAGAACATTACTGGGCAAAAATACAGGAGCTTTTGAGTCTAGCAAAGATTTCTTCTTTTTATATAAATGCATCTCATCTTGAGTGCTATAAGCCTTATTTCAGCAGAACATCTTTTTTGTCTCAGCATGTCTTCTTACTCACAGTTATGTTGCCAGTATGAATCAATTTGATTTATAGTGTATACTATACAGGGCAACTTCCTTAAAGGCCCAATGCTGTCATTAATACCTGCTGAAAGGCTCAAGGTGTTCTTCAGAATACTTCAAATAACTATCATTGCTAAGTAGGAGCATATGCTCACCCTTTGAAAGAAGAACATGTAATCCAGATTCTATACAAAACACTACAAATTCTGTGTTAACGCTGTCCTTTCTTAAAATGTATTCTTTCTGCTAATACCTCATTTCATGAATGTACATCTTGGACAACCCCTTTCATTTTCTTTAAAAGACGACGATTGAGCAAAATAGAATATTTGGTCTCACTAATGGCATTTTTTATAACATCTACTATAAATTAGTAAAAATGTGCCCTTTGAACTGTACTCTCTAGTTGTGCTGGGACTACTATCTAGCATGGCCAAAGATCATATTGCCTAACATGAGAGATAAATGGTCCGGCACACTTAGGAGCCATCAGGTGAAATAGAATGTATCAGAGCAAAAAGTTTTGGAACAATTCCCAGAGTTCCCAAAGAAGGGAAGGGAGAGAACAGATAAATGTAGACAATGCATAAAATACCCCAACTGCCCTCAGTGCTTGCAAGCAAAAGAGAAGAGGCCACTTTATTACCATTACTTGTTAAATCTATGCATGCTTTTCCCAGTGTAGGGTGTACTGTGCATTATCCATGTGGAGTTAAGCTTGCAGGACTGCTCGGATTCACACACGCAACTTTTCAGCTGAGTCATTGGCCAGCGTCTCATCAGCAACATCGCGAGGTACATTGGGTGGCGGGATCTTGAGGTCAGACGGTTCCACATTCCAGATATCACGGGCGTATTCTTTGATGGTCCTGTCACTGGAAAACTTCCCAGAGGCTGCAATGTTCCTGATGACCATTTTGGTCCATTCTTTGGTGTTCTGTAAGAAAGAGCTTATGTGAACCTGGCTCTTGCATGACAATCAAACATGGTACAGCCACCTACATAGTACTGAACATGGCACAGCCCTGCATGACACACTATAATTCACCTCAAATTCCTAACAAGCAATACATCTTAGATCAGGAGCAAGCAAATAACAGCTTGTAGGTAACTCCACCCCATTTTTGCTGTCCTTCAAGAATGCATAAAAATATGGCCAATTATTAATTTTGGATGGAAAAAGAAGGTTAAATTAGTGCAAAGGCTCAATGACATCTATTTTGCATTACCAAAAATAACAGATAAGCATTATTTTAACTTCCTCTGATGGCACATGTCACTGCCAAGTCCCCTGCATCCTGCAGCAAGGATGAGAGAGAAACTGTCCCTTTTCTTCTTGCTGGTAAATGCTGTGATGAAAAAAAATACAGAAGGAAAAGAAAAGAAAGAACCACTCTGCTAGAGAGAAGTTCTCTGTGGATGGGCTCCAGAATGAGTCTGAAAGCTTGGAAGACTAAACCTCTGTTCCCGGTGATCCACCCAGATCCTGCAACATTATTCTGGGACACGTTATATTCATCTTCATTCGTGAAAGACAAGAATAGATGAAGGAATGGATGTATAACATCCATCCTAATCTGATGGCAAAGTGCATGGTGGGAACAATTACAGGAGTCAGTTCAACTCCGTTTCTAAGGGAAACCTAGTTGGAGGAAGTTAAAGGAAGTTAATTCAATATATTAGAAGAGCTTGACCAGGAAAGGTGTAGGATGTATTGTAAGGCCTGAAGCCAGTAAAGAGAGTATCAAGATGAAAGAACGTAGGACAGGCAGCTGTTGTCTATAGTGAGATGAGATGAGCAGAAAAGGATTTCAGTGCTGAAAACCCACATATCTATGGAGTGTTAGCAGGAGGAAGTTGACAGGACAGGAGCTCGTTGGGAAGCTGTTCAGTCTTATTATATAACATATTATTTTAGCTTTTAGGGTTTTATTTGGCAAATTAGTTAGCTATTTTATGAATGAGTTTACGCTTTAGTCCTAAGGAGCTTCTGACAAGTGAAGTCCATGAGGGGAGCCATATTCAATGACTGCATGATTCATTCAACAACTGTAAGGATTCACTTCACAACCATGACAAAAAGGTCATAAAGTGGGGCATGACGCACATAAAAACTGCCTCGCTTAGCAACAGAAATCTGGAGCTCAATTGTGATCATAAGTCAAAGGACTGTCGGAACAAAACAGCTGTATTGGAAATAGTGAGGAAATTGCTCAAGAAGGGAATCATTGTAACCACATGCTTGAAATTATAGGTTGCTTAAACAGTAACAGCATTTGGAGCTTCTTCGTGGTTTTGACAGATCTATCAGTTCTTTTCCCCCCACCTCTTAGTGGGTTTAGAGCAGGGGTAGGCAACCTTGGCTCTTTTATGACTCGTGGACTTCAACTCCCAGAATTCCTGAGCCAGCATGGCTGGCTCAGGAATTCTGGGAGTTGAAGTCCATGAGTCATAAAAGAGTCAAGGTTGCCTACCCCTGGTTTAGAGATACTGTATTTCAGCCTTTTCTTCTCCACTGGTTGCTTGTTGAGCACATTTAACATCTTTAGTACAGATAGTCCTCGACTTACGACCTCAATTGAGCCCAAACTTTCTGTTGCTAAGTAAGACATTTGTTAAGTGAGTTTTGCCTTATTTTACGACCTTTTTGCCACAGTTGCTAAGTGAATCACTGCAGTTGTTAAGTTAGTCACACGTTTGTTAAGTGAAACTGGCTTCCCCATTGACTTTGGTTGTCAGAAGGTCACAAAAGTTGACCCCATGACCCCGGGACATGGCACCCGTCATAAATACATGCCTGTTGCCAATCATCCATATTTCGATCATTTGACTGTGGAGATGTTGCAACTGGATCGATCTGCTTTATCCAGGAACACATTCCTGAGCGGTCATGCTCCTTTTGCAGGTTAGCTAGATATTTAAATCGCATAACTTTGAAGAGTACAAACATTAGCATATTCCAATGTCCTCCCAAAAACTGTTCTTGGGAGCAAATACAAAACCATCCCTTATGAGCTAAGATTATACTCTTGTGGTGAAGAAGCTATCAAATCCATAGCTCATTTCCTACCAGGCCCAAGGAACCAAGGACAATTGGAGTATTTTATTGTTTGCTTACAGACAGACATCTTGCCAAAAACTAAAGCATTTATCTATATAACAATTAGATACACCCTGTGCATCGTTGATGGGGGGGAGCAGCATCCGCCTTCCATCTTTTCCTTTCATACTAAAGATTTCAAGCAATGTGGTCTCTTTGTTCCCTGGGAAAACAGCTCTTCCCTCCTGCGACTCTGGACTACATTCCACACGTCTTGTTATACTGCACCTTCCTAAAAAGACTTAAGGGCCCATTTTATAATTCCTATCTAGTGAAGTACCCAAACAATTGATTTATTTTATGCACAGTTGCTTTTATCAGGTCAGTAATGCTTTCATTTCTTTAAATGTACTATATAGTGTGCTACTGTCTTTAAAATTAGACATACTCTGATCATCTTAATGACCTAGCTATAATTTTATGCTGTCTTATTTTAAGTAAAATAGCATTAGCATTTTATGCTTACATACTGCCTCATAGAGCTTTATAGCACTCTCTGGGCTGTAAAAGCTGCTTAATTATTTTAGTTATTTGTTCACTTGTAGAATTCTGGTCACTAATTATAGAGCAATAGAATTTGAGTTATAGAAAGACTTAAAAGCACACAAATTTAGTCACTGTAGTGAATAAAATCGATCACCTCCAGCAAACTTACTAAGCAAAAAAATAAAGTTCTGAGTAGCTTGGCCTGATACACAAATAACTTTTACTCTAGTTTTTGTTAATCCATCAATTTCAGTTAGTGGTTAGTCCAGTATGTCATGCAAACTCAGAAAATTTGGTCCAGTAAACATGGTTAATTTAACTGGGTATGTGTGTTGTATAAATTCATTGCAGATAAGGTAGTTAATTTGTCCAGTCAGAGACACACAGGATAGAACACTGGAGATTTGCACTTTGATTATTCATTCAGATGCTTATACAGTAAACACTGTAAACGTTCTGGATTTGGACACAAATTAGTTAGTAACAGGTCATTAGTTTATAAGTCCTACACAGAAATTTCTCCACACCCAGCTTACCATGTAGAGTTGACTGACACTGTCTTGGCACTTGACATAAGCTTCATAGTCTGCAAACACTTTAAACCTATCCAAAAGAAAACCAAAATGTGTGAAATGTTTTAAAGGCAATCTGAGTTTTAGATTTCTAGATCTAGACCATTGGTTAGTCTTGAATTCATTATTCCAAAAACTGTCTTTAGAACACCACAAATTATTTTTTGTTCAGAGGACTAGCTTCTGGGAAACTGCCAGACCATACATAGAATTGTTAAATCAGAATAGAAATAAATAGTGTATTCCAGAAGGGTCCAGAACAATACATTTTAACATATCTTGTAACAAGCAACCATGAAGGCACGGGAGAATAGTGGGGAACAACCACACCAGTCTGTTTCTGATAATTGGGTACTCTATGATAACAAATCACCTCCATATCACTTAATCTGTGAGCAAGCTAAAAGTATGTTCCAAAAATTTAGAATTAGTCTACTGGCATTTAATCTTAATGTAGTCCAAAACCTTGTCCAAGAATAGAGGATACTGCAAAAATCCTTTGACAAGTCTCCACTTGGGTGGGGAGTAACAAATTTTCTTTAACAATTGGTGATCCAAACATTAAAACTGTGATTAGATGCATATACCACTACCCTGCAACTCCAACCTGAATTTCATTGGCATGACAAAATGATTTAAGGGAAGAACTTCATAATGGATTCAAGTTTCTTGGTGCTTTTAAATTACATAATAGACCAAAGAAAACTGACCTTAATGTTAACCGACCTTAACAGGACTCAAATGTTTGTCTGACAAGTGATAAGGGGACATATGGTCATTTAAAAAACAAATCTGTAAGGCATCTTTACTCACCGGTCATGGTGGAACAACATGTTGACCAAATCTTTGAACAGATCAGGTTGTTGTGGTGAAAAGAAACCACTTTTGATCTGATCCATAGCTTGCTTCAATTCAGGAAGCTTATTATAATATTCCTGAGCATGGTACCTGGTGGAAGAAGGTGGAGCCATTATTGTTAGATGAGCAACAGGTACCACAGAATATTCACTTTGAGAGCAGACCAGGAAAGGTGCCCAGAGAGTGGAGGCGAGATGCAGAATGGCGCCGAATCCAAAAGATGTTTTATTTATGGTATTGATTAAATTTGTATGGCTGCCCATCTCACAAAAAAGCAACATTGGATGGCACACAACACTTAATTAAAACAATACACATATAAAAATATTCATTTCTAAAAATATATTAAAAGCACAAGAATAAGAGAAAATAATGTTAACCACGGTTAAGGGAGCCATCACAAGCTCTCACAGGTCCCCCGGAATCCCCAAGCAGATGACAACTAGTTCTTGAAGGACTAGCGGAATGTTAACAGTTCCAGGAAGAGAAGATTCCACAAGGTGGGCACTAGGGCAGAAAAGACCCACCTCTTGAGACCCGCCAAATGTAGTTCCCCTACAGATGGGATCCACAGCACGAGGGTTTATTATTTGAAATGCTCAGATGTTTTTCATTCAAAGCAATTAATCCATGAAAAATATAACTCAATATCTATTTCAGCATTTTGGCTGATTCCACCCCACTCCCTTTTTAATGTGACATTAGCACATGGACAAAAAAAATGACTGTAGGAAGTGGGAAGTTCAAGAGAACATTCTATCTCCAGGTCTAGGTGCCTTAATAAGGCAGGAATAGAACCCCATACATTTTTTCACCCCAATAATATAAATTCATAGCACTCATAGTGCTAAATCTTATGCCATTAAAATGTGAGGTCACACAAACACCATTATTCTACTCTGTGTCTTCCTCCTCCATTCAAGTTTTGGAAGTCAATTTCACTTCAGACAATTGAGAATTTTTCCTACACCCACTTGTGCCCCAATTGAGCTGTTAACCAGTCTTACCCTCTCTGGTCCAACTCTGCCACATCTGGCACTCTCATGCCAAATATGAAAAGATTCTCTTCTCCAGCTTCTTCTGCCATTTCTACATTGGCACCATCCATGGTCCCGATGGTCAGAGCCCCATTGAGCATGAATTTCATGTTGCCAGTGCCCGAAGCTTCAGTGCCAGCTGTCGAAATCTGCTCTGATAAATCTGTAGCAGGGATCACTGCCAAAAAAATATTATCTTAGTATCTGGGCATTCCTTTTTCCCTCATTTGCATTGCAACTGGTTGGCAATGATTTGTGCACTTTTTGAACTAAGCCCACCAAAAGAATAAATCTGTGGGTGCACGGCTCCTGCCCATTAGTTTGGAAAAAATCTAAGAAAGCAGAGATGTTTCTGTTCATAAGAGGTTATTATTCAGTATCTTGAAAAATGTTACATTTCAATGCCAGCTTTAACAACTAGGTAGGCTTGTCTATTTGTATCCCCCTTTTTCATCTCATTTATGGGCCTAATTGAGGTGCACAAAAATGAGACCTTTTAATCCCTTTGTTATGAAATAGTAAAAAAAGAAGACAAATTGCTATTTCGAATAATTATGTAATACAAGTAAAAGAGATATACAAAGCTTATCAATCTGAGATACAACTTTGCAGAAAATGCCAGAGTATTTTGCTCTCCTTCAACTAACTGAAGTGATCTAGAAGATTCCGGAAGCAAATCCTCTAAATTGCAAATGATTTGAGGTGTTCTGGGAATGATTTGGTCTTGAAAGACACTACTGTGTCTGGAAAGCCATGTCTGGGAACACTTTGAATTACTTTGAGGTGGGACTTTATTTCCAAAAACCTGCTCCTGTGAATGGTGTGGTCTGGAGAGTTAGGAAATATTTCTTCTTGTTGTTGTTGTTCATGTTGTTTATATTAAGTAGAGTATATATATACAGGATGTATAAAATCCCAGGAGTCATTCAAATTCAAAACCTATGCATCCAGGACACTTCCTAATCCATCATTGGATGAATACCACAACAGCACCCAGTTTAATTCTTTGTTCAAGGACTTTAAAGAGTCCAACTGAACATTCTTCTATTCTCTACACTTATCAGTCAGCACTCTGAGCTCATTAAATATATTGTCCCCATCCCCTCAATTCTGAAAACCTTGGTACTTTTCAGTGTGCTGATTACTTTTCTGTGTAGATGGTATTGTGCTGTGGTACAGATGGTACAGATTCATTTCCAAAGATATTCTAGAGTTCACAGCAGCATAACTTAGATGACTTTAGATGACCATCTGTCGGCCGTGACCAGGGGGGCGTTTTATCAGGTTCGCCTGATTCACCAGTTGCGGCCTTTTCTGGACCGGGACGCCTTACACACAGTCACTCATGCTCTTGTCACCTCCCGCCTGGACTACTGTAATGCTCTCTACATGGGGCTCCCTTTGAGGAGCACCCGGAGGCTTCAAATGGTCCANTACTATATAGTGTGCTACTGTCTTTAAAATTAGACATACTCTGATCATCTTAATGACCTAGCTATAATTTTATGCTGTCTTATTTTAAGTAAAATAGCATTAGCATTTTATGCTTACATACTGCCTCATAGAGCTTTATAGCACTCTCTGGGCTGTAAAAGCTGCTTAATTATTTTAGTTATTTGTTCACTTGTAGAATCCTGGTCACTAATTATAGAGCAATAGAATTTGAGTTATAGAAAGACATAAAAGCACACAAATTTAGTCACTGTAGTGAATAAAATCGATCACCTCCAGCAAACTTACTAAGCAAAAAAATAAAGTTCTGAATAGATTGGCCTGATACACAAATAACTTTTACTCTAGTTTTTGTTAATCCATCAGTTTCAGTTAGTGGTTAGTCCAGTATGTCATGCAAACTCAGAAAATTTGGTCCAGTAAACATGGTTAATTTAACTGGGTATGTGTGTTGTACAAATTCATTGTAGATAAGGTAGTTAATTTGTCCAGTCAGAGACACACAGGACAGAACACTGGAGATTTGCACTTTGATTATTCATTCAGATGCTTATACAGTAAACACTGTAAACGTTCTGGATTTGGACACAAATTAGTTAGTAACAGGTCATTAGTTTATAAGTCCTACAAAGAAATTTCTCCACACCCAGCTTACCATGTAGAGTTGACTGACACTGTCTTGGCACTTGACATAAGCTTCATAGTCTGCAAAAACTTTAAACCTATCCAAAAGAAAACCAAAATGTGTGAAATGTTTTAAAGGCAATCTGAGTTTTAGATTTCTAGATCTAGACCATTGGTTAGTCTTGAGTTCATTATTCCAAAAACTGTCTTTAGAACACCACAAATTAATTTTTGTTCAGAGGACTAGCTTCTGGGAAAGTGCCAGACCATACATAGAATTGTTAAATCAGAATAGAAATAAATAGTGTATTCCAGAAGGGTCCAGAACAATACATTTTAACATATCTTGTAATAAGCAACCATGAAGGCACGGGAGAATGGTGGGGAACAACCACACCAGTGTGTTTCTTATAATTGGGTACTCTATGATAATAAATCACCTCCATATCATTTAATTTGTGAGCAAGCCAAAATTATGTTCCCAAAATTTAGAATTAATCTACTGGCCCATAAGGACATTTAATGTAGTCCAAAACCTTGTCCAAGAATAGAGGATACTGCAAAAATCCTTTGACAAGTCTCCACTTGGATGGGGAGTAACACATTTTCTTTAACAATTGGTGATCCCAAACATTAAAACTGTGATTGTATGCATATATCACTACCCTGCAACTCCACCCTGAATTTCATTGGCATGACAAAATGATTTAAGGGAAGAACTTCATACTGGATTCAAGTTTCTTGGTGCTTTTAAATTACATAATAGACTAAAGAAAACTGACCTTAATGTTAACTGACCTTAACAGGACTCAAATGTTTGTCTGACAAGTGATAAGGGGACATATGGTCATTTAAAAAACAAATCTGTAAGGCATCTTTACTCACCGGTCATGGTGGAACAACATGTTGACCAAATCTTTGAACAGATCAGGTTGTTGTGGTGAAAAGAAACCACTTTTGATCTGATCCATAGCTTGCTTCAATTCAGGAAGCTTATTATAATATTCCTGAGCATGGTACCTGGTGGAAGAAGGTGGAGCCATTATTGTTAGATGAGCAACAGGTACCACAGAATATTCACTTTGAGAGCAGACCAGGAAAGGTGCCCAGAGAGTGGAGGCGAGATGCAGAATGGCGCCGAATCCAAAAGATGTTTTATTTATGGTATTGATTAAATTTGTATGGCTGCCCATCTCACAAAAAAGCAACATTGGATGGCACACACACTTAATTAAAACAATACACATATAAAAATATTCATTTCTAAAAATATATTAAAAGCACAAGAATAAGAGAAAATAATGTTAACTACGGTTAAGGGAGCCATCACAAGCTCTCACAGGTCCCCCAGGATCCCCAAGCAGATGACAACTAGTTCTTGAAGGACTAGCGGAATGTTAACAGTGAGCTAACCTCACTTCCAGGAAGAGAAGATTCCACAAGGTGGGCACTAGGGCAGAAAAGACCCGCCTCTTGAGACCCGCCAAATGTAGTTCCCCTACAGATGGGATCCACAGCACGAGGGTTTATTATTTGAAATGCTCAGATGTTTTTCATTCAAAGCAATTAATCCATGAAAAATATAACTCAATATCTATTTCAGCATTTTGGCTGATTCCCACTCCCTTTTTAATATGACATTAGCACATGGACAAAAAAAATGACTGTAGGAAGTGGGAAGTTCAAGAGAACATTCTATCTCCAGGCCTAGGTGCCTTAATAAGGTAGGAATAGAACCCCATACATTTTTTCACCCCAATAATATAAATTCATAGCACCCATAGTGCTAAATCTTATGCCATTAAAATGTGAGGTCACACAAACACCATTATTCTACTCTGTGTCTTCCTCCTCCATTCAAGTTTTGGAAGTCAGTTTCACTTCAGACAATTGAGGATTTTTCCTACACCCACTTGTGCCCCAGTTGAGCTGTTAACCAGTCTTACCCTCTCTGGTCCAACTCTGCCACATCTGGCACTCTCATGCCAAATATGAAAAGATTCTCTTCTCCAGCTTCTTCTGCCATTTCTACATTGGCACCATCCATGGTCCCGATGGTCAGAGACCCATTGAGCATGAATTTCATGTTGCCAGTTCCCGAAGCTTCGGTGCCAGCTGTCGAAATCTGCTCTGATAAATCTGTAGCAGGGATCACTGCCAAGAAAATATTATCTTAGTATCTGGGCATTCCTTTTTCCCTCATTTGCATTGCAACTGGTTGGCAATGTAGCAAGGCTGACTCCCTGTTGCTGATTTGTGCACTTTTTGAACTAAGCCCACCAAAAGACAAAATTTCTTGTGGGTGCACAGCTCCTGCCCATTAGTTTGGAAAAAATCTAAGAAAGCAGAGATGTTTCTGTTCATAACCTCATAAGAGGTTATTATTCAGCATCTTGAAAAATGTTACATTTCAATGCCAGCTTTAACAACTAGATAGGCTTGTCTATTTGTATCCCCCTTTTTCATCTCATTTATGGGGCCTAATTGAGGTGCACAAAAATGAGACCTTTTAATCCTTTTGTTATGAAATAGTAAAAAAAGAAGACAAATTGCTATTTCGAATAATTATGTAATACAAGTAAAAGAGATATACAAAGCTTATCAATCTGAGATACAACTTTGCAGAAAATGCCAGAGTATTTTGCTCTCCTTCAACTAACTGAAGTGATCTAGAAGATTCCAAAAGCAAATCCTCTAAATTGCAAATGATTTAAGGTGTTCTGGGAATGATTTGGTCTTGAAAGACACTACTGTGTCTGGAAAGCCATGTCTGGGAACACTTTGAATTACTTTGAGGTGGGACTTTATTTCCAAAAACCTGCTCCTGTGAATGGTGTGGTCTGGAGGAGGTTCAGTATAAGAGTTAGGAAATATTTCTTCTTGTTGTTGTTGTTCATGTTGTTTATATTAAGTAGAGTATATATATACAGGATGTATAAAATCCCAGGAGTCATTCAAATTCAAAACCTATGCATCCAGGACACTTCCTAATCCATCATTGGATGAATACCACAACAGCACCCAGTTTAATTCTTTGTTCAAGGACTTTAAAGAGTCCAACTGAACATTCTTCTATTCTCTACACTTATCAGTCAGCACTCTGAGCTCATTAAATATATTGTCCCCATCCCCTCAATTCTGAAAACCTTGGTACTTTTCAGTGTGCTGATTACTTTTCTGTGTAGATGGTATTGTGCTGTGGTACAGATGGTACAGATTCATTTCCAAAGATATTCTAGAGTTCACAGCAGCATAAAAGGAGCATTTCTCCAAAACTTTTTAAAGCAGCTGCATTATTCCTAGATTGCATGGCAGCCACACATTCATAGGAAATGTTGAAGATGCTTGAAAAAGCTGCAGATGGGTCCTATATTCAATGCTCTGAAGCCGCTTTTGGAATCAAATCTGAAACTCTGGTCAGTCCTATTCATTAGTTTCTTAGGCACAGCATGGCTACTGGTCATCAAACTGCTCTCATTCCTACATTTCCCAGCCTGGTATCTCCAAGATGGATTGTATTACCTTTTTCAGCCAGTGAGACTCTGTAATTCTCCAGAAAGATGACCTTCAGCTTGCTTCCAACCCCAGGATCATTGTTTACTACATGGCCTACAGAAGTGATCAGCTTTATTATTATCTTAGCCATATGATACCCAGGAGCAGCCTAGAAGAAAGAAAGCAATGCAGCAGTAAGGAGTTGAGATTATGATGGTTATGACTAAGAATTCTACTCCCAACTGAATAAAACCTGCAGAAGCTGCAGAAAACCAACATAATCAAACTAGCATCTCCTGACCAGCATCTAAGAAACTGTTAGAGCAACCTTACCCAACCTGCTATGCTTTCAAATGAAATGGGATTACAATTCCCAAAGAGCCTGAAAGAATTTGGACAATTGCATAACTCCAATGCATCTAGAAAGCACCATTTGGAAAAAGTGAGCTAGAATGCATGGGATTTTTCATGGTGGGGGGCAGGGGAAAATGGCATATAGAAAGCTGCATACATTTAAGTGGGAATAGCTTTCACTGACTTACAGACAGACAGAGAGAGAGAGAGAGAGAGAGAGAAAATAGATAGACAGAGAGAGATAATAGGTAGGTAGGTAGATAGATAGATAGATGATAGATAGATAGATAGATGATAGATAGATAGATAGATAGATAGATAGATAGATAGATAGATAGATAGATGAATATTCTTGCAATCTTCACAATTCTTTAAATGTTAAATGGATGTGAATCTAGTCAGGAGTTCAGTAGGAAAATATCAGGAAATTTCAGGGCTGTAGACTTGATAAGGATTTTTTAAAAAAATCCTAGAAGGCAACGGCAGACACTTCCATAAGAAGCAGCATAACTCTGCAGGTGCCTGGATAATCTAATTTTTATAAGATACATCCATATCTACTTTAGACTATATATACATGTACATAAACACACACACGCACACAATTTAACCTAGTGAGAAAACAAGAAAGACTCTCTCACTACTACCTATTTGCGTAATTAAAGATGGATTAGTAATGAGAGTTCAGGAAAGAGGCAGAAAATGACATTTCCAGCAATGTTATAATTTGCTTTGCAGAACACCCAAAAGATGAATCTTGAATCTCAAATTCATCACTCACTTTTCCACCTATTATCACAGTCCTGGGCACAAATGGCTTCGTTGGATCTCGCTTAATGCCTGCAAAGGAGAAAGACAAGAGATTCCAAGCTTGACTTCTGTCCAGGCAAAAAGTAATCGTCCTTGGCTCTTCCACCCCTCATCGCTCTTTGCTTCCCTAGAGTTGCTTTCTTTGAGGCCCATCATGCCAGCTCTGCTCTTTCTTGAATGACTGCAGCCAATTTGGCTTCCTTTTCTTGCTAAGAGATCTCCAACTTTGGGTGTACTGATAGACATCTTTGGAATTCTCAGATAATGTTATGAACATTTTCTCCAAGTATCATGGCTGCTATTCTGCTAACCTTACATCGCAAGCTTATAGCCTGACATTAGTAACGGGGGGAGGGAGAAGAGATTGGAATGTAGGGAGGAATCATGGGGGAATGGGAACCAAGCCATGCCAGCCTGAGAGACAACAGCCAACCCAAGGTCACCCATCAGAACACAGAGCTGGAAAGCCACAAACAGAGGGTCCCTTACCTAAACAATATGAAGGCACCCAATTGGACATTGACTGATAACAGGGGAAAGGGAAAGTTAATTGTGCAGTTTGCATGTGAAAATGCCAGATCCAGCTTTGCTACTTCTGTAACCACTTTGGCTTAGTAAAATATACTCTTGGTGAAAGCAAGATGAGTACGAAGAAGAATATTTCCAGATAAAGGACGCAATTGAAATCACCCCCAGGTTTTTTTTCTGTGAAGGCTTGGAAATCTATGTGGGAACAGCCAGTCTAACACTGACTCTTTTCTATACGAAATGCAACATTCCCATTTATTTTTAATTAAAGAATGTTAATACCAGGCAGTCCTCAACTTATGAGCACAATTGACACCAGAATTTCCATTGTTAAGCAAGATGATTGTTAAGTGAGTCACGCCTGATTTTACAGTCTTTATTGCCATGGTTGTTAAGTGAATCACTGCAGTTGTGAAGTAAATCACTTGGTTATTAAGGGAATCCAGCTTCCCTCATTGGCTTTGCTTATCAAAAGCTGGCTGGGAAGATCACAAACGGCAAATCATGTGACCCTGGGAAGCTGTAAATCTATGCCGGTTGCCAAGCACCTGACATGACCATGAGGATGCTGTGTCAGTTGTGAGGACCGGTTGTAACTTTTTTCAGTGCCACTGTACACTTTTTTTCAGTGCCACTGAACACTCACTAAACGAATGGTTGTACGTCAAAGACTACCTACTAAATAAAATTAGGGCATGAAATTTGGCATTTGTTCCCTATTCACAGAGGAATCATGGAGGCATCCTATCTTAATAATCTCAGGTGTTGTCAGGTATCAGTTCCTGAACATAGTGGACACTGTAAAGCAGAGTTCCCCAACCTTTCCAACTTGGTGGCCTGGAAGGAAAGGGAGGAGCAGGAATTAGCGCCCACACGCATGTACAAGCAAGCCGCGTGCATCCGTGGTGGTGCAGCGGCGCCTACTGCATGCACAAACAGGCTAGCATCCATGTGCATGCACAAGCAAACTGCATGCACCCGCGTTGGCGTGCTTGTGCCCGCATGCATGCGCAAATGGGCTGCTGGCGTGCGCAAATGGGTTGCTGGTATGTGCATGCATGCACAAACAAGCCGCTAGGCCCATGTGACACTGGTGGCAGTGCTAGTGCACCTACACATGCGCAAATGGGGCTGCTAGCGCTCATGCGGGAGCGCTACCGGAAGGGGGGGGCTTGCCAGCTATTCCTGCGGCCCAGTAGCCAATAGGCCATGGCCCGGTACCAGGCTGCTGACCATAGGTTGGGAATCCCTGCTGTAAAGGAATCAAGGAAAAAGGCAAAACAAAGTATAAAAGAAGGAATCACAAACCTGGTGCATTACTGTATGACGTTTACATTGTCTGCTTCTGCAGTGCTCTATTAATCATGGGCTCAATGAGCAATAATTGTGAACTGTTATACAACTGTACTAAAAATGGGAGACTGTGCCTAGAATGACTGGCAATTAACAGTTTCTACAAACTAGAAGTGAGGAGGATTGAGATAAAATGGAATGTAATTCTGAAGTTTTTACCTACATCAGGCAGCTGATGAAAATTATTGGCTTCGAAAAAGGGTTCAAAAGAAGCCAAGGCATCCAGGCAGGCAAGACCTGGAATTAAGCCAGGGAAGCAGTCTCTTTCCTTATGACTCTCACAATCTGAATAGTTCTTATTTTATTTTTATTGACTGTGCATCACGATAAAGCTTAAAATGAGCATCCCCAAATGTTCTGTTATTCCCATTCATTGGTAGAGTTTTTGTTTCAGATTATAATTCTTTAAAAATCATTAAAGATGTTTGTTTATCATTTGATTCTATTTTGGAGCAGTGCAGTTATATTTATGCAAGAAGAAAAGCCATAAGAATGCTCCATTTGCTTGGCTAGGCTCAATTTTACTCACGGTTGTAGATGGTAATCACATGTAGGCAATTCATGAGCTGCCGCTTGTATTCATGAATTCTCTTGACTTGCACGTCAAACATGGAAGCTGGGTTGATCTTCACTTTATATTCCTGCTCCAGATATTGAGCGAATTTGACTTTGTTTTCCTGTGAAGAGAAAGGGAGGTATTGTTGTGGCTCCGTCTTGTGAGCCCCTCTTATTGGAGGAAGAAGGCTCCGAACATGAAGGAGAGGAGATGGCTAGGCCTCCCTCTCCAGGACCCTCCTCTTTGGCAATGCCTCCGGTGTCTTCCGACGGAGAAGAGATTGACCAGGAGCCAGGTGGTTCAGAGATTGGCCAGGAGCCCGGTGTGTCTCAGATTGGCCAGGAGCCAGGTGTGTCAGATAATGAGGAAGAAAAGTTGTGGCTGGATCCACGCCAGCGTAGGAGCGATAAGCGTGCGCAGCAGAAAAAGAGACGTGCCAGAGATTAAGCTGAGTCANGAATCTCTGGCAAAGTAGTGTGCTGTGGTTTCAAAACTGTGTGTATTGTTTTTGTTTCTGTGTGTTTGGAGTAAAAAGGTCTTGGCAGGCAGCTACGGAGCTGCTGCCAAGTTTCTTATCTGTGCATTGGTGTCTGGAGAAGTCTTTAAACCCTCGGCTGGCTGTTTGGGTGTGTGGGTCGGAACGGGGACAGAACAGGTATGGCCACTCTTTTGATAGGAAACTTTTATAACCAAATGGAAAGAAGATAGAGCCGGCCAAAAACCTTTTGCTCTAGGTGTTCAATTCTACTTGCAAAGATCGGCTAGATTGGCAATGGAACAAGTTCTTCTATTGTCCCTGAAGGAAGCCTGATAACATAGTCCTCATCTACACAACTTTCTTGCATCAGCAAAAAACACGATTTATTTGCTTTTAGCTAAGGACATGTCCTTGAAACACTACTTCTATCTTGTAACCAGAGCACCGTTGAAGGAAGATGAAGCAATTATAGCTTGAGCATAATGTTACAGCTTGAGCATAATGTTTTCCCCAGGAAAATGGAGTAAAACCTCCTATATGGACATTCTAGTTGCATGCAGGAATCATTTTGAGAGTTTGGTGAACTGTTGGCCTTCCACTGGTCCACTACAAACTGCTTCCTCCCATCTAGTCACTGGGCTCTAAGCCCCATAGCTACTTGTATTTCACCTGTGGAGAATGCAGAATCTTACTCAGCAGCTATTTTCTTGTTTGTGTATATGTAGATTAGTGTAGCCTGCCCACACCAACATCCTTTGACAGAAGATATGTTGGACTTTGTAGAAATAGGAGTCTTCCCTGAGGTTTGCATTCTGTCTGGTAAGTAGAAAGCAAGAAACGTGGCACATTTGCTCAACAGTGCCTCTTAAATGGCCTTTAAGCTTTTCTGAAAGTCTTATTGTATTGCAGTCTTCCAAAAGCTGATACTCTCCAGATTTCCTACCAAGTAACAATCAACTTACATCTACCTTCTAATTCCCTCTCTATATGATAATTCCCAGAGACCTGGGTTCGGGTATCTACTTAAGCACAGAGCTCCTTACATCACTTTGAACAAATTATCTGTTTTAACCTAACCTGGTGCTGGTATGATAAAATGAATGATGATGAACTGAATTTGTCACTTGAATCTTCCTGTATTTGCCAGATACAACAAAATGCAATGAAGGATTATCTATAAAGCAATTTAGAGATAGAAAATTCCTAAAAAGGGAGAAATTCCCCTTACCTGCTTGACTTTGGCCACCTCTCTGATGAAAACATCATCATTTACAAACCGATGCAGCTTTGTTAGCTGACTCAAATCTTTCACATATTCCTCTCCTATTTTCTATACAAAGAAGAAAGAGATTTCACATATGCATCATCTCAAAAGACAGAACCCTTTAAGAATCCAGTCATTCCATTGTCATTCCCCATTGATACTCATTGTGGTACCTACTCATTGTGGTACCTAAGGAATCTAAGCATAAGAGCCATGGTGGTGCAGTGATTAGAGTGCAGTACTGCAGGTTACTTCTGCTGACTGACAGCTGCCTGCAGTTTGGCAGTTCAATTCTCACCACCTCAAGATTGACTCACCCTTCCATACATCCGAGGTCGGTAAAATGAGGACCCAGATTGCTGGGGCCAATATGCTAACTCTGCAAACCACTTAGAGAGGGCTGTAAAGCACTGTAAAGCGGTATATAAATATTGACCTCTCAAAAACATTTTAGGCTCAATGGATTGAGATAGGCATTCCTATGAAGGCATTCCTATGTGGCTCAGGGCTGAACTGTGAAGTCCTTCATTCTCTCTCAGGTTAATTGTGTGTTTGCAGACATTTCATTACCCAATGGGTAACATTATTAATACCTGGATGATAGAGGATGATATTACCTAGTTGGATAATGAAATGACTGCAAAATGCGACTAAGCTCAGTGAGCACCAAGGACTCCACAGACATTTTTCCATGGCCTACAATACACCAACCACCTTTCCTTTTATTATTCAATAAGTTCTGCAGGTTGTGAAATGCTATCAAGGCCTACAAAGACTATTTAACCAGAATGATAGTAGATGAGTAGACAGCAGAAGCAGAGATCCTACTTACAAAGTGTTTTCATAGCTTTGAAAGGAGATGGAAACTGCCTGATTATACATCAGGAACTATTTTTTTTTTTAAAAAATAAAATTTATAAAAAAGCACACACAAGTTATTACAATAATTATTTTGCTAAGCAGAACAACTGAGCAGGTTTTTTTTACCTCTGCAATTAATTCTGCAAGTCCTGGGTTGCAAAGCAGGAGCCAGCGACGAGGAGTGATCCCATTTGTTTTATTCTGAAACTTTTCTGGCTCCATCTCTGCAAAGTCCTTGAACCTGAACAAAAAACAAGAAAGTATATTCATGGAACATCCTCAAGATTTACTAGTTAAACAGATGGGATAGAAAACATTTGCCATCCAATGTTTTAAATTTTCAATTAATACTAATTGCATAATTACCCTACACTTTTTTTATATACGGTACTTATTTTTTGCATAGACGGAAGCCCACAAGGCTGAAAGCAACAGCATAAGTTTTTTTATGTATTTATGTTATATGTAGTACAAAATTATTTCACACACCATTGCTGTATTGATGATTTATTTGCTCATATAAGGTTTATGTTCACATGATCTGATTAATTAGGTCATTTAAAGAACTAGCAGATTTAATAGCAGTCTTAGTTTTAACCTTAATTGACACATGATTCGGTGTATTGTAGATACTCTGAAAATGGATTAATTCAGAAACTATGTAAAGTATGTTGAATGAGAATAACCAGTTCATCACAGAAGAACAAAAGTGGCCCACATCTGAATCTTAATATGTAGCATAAATCTAAAATTATTCATGTGGGTGTTTAATTGTGGCATTCCCTGCAAACTCTGAAGTAAATTGAAAATGAAGATTTCAAAGTACTAGAGTTGAAATAACTTTGGGGAAATTTGTCCTGCAGTCTTTCACCCAAAAATGCATATGGCAACTATCAAGAATTTAATTATAGAACACAAAGTTTGGGAGGGCAGAAAATTATCGAAGCAATAATAGTAACAGACAAAATTATATATTAGCACAAACTCAGTGGCACCCAGAGTTCAGCCTTAAACTTCAAAATTGATCTCACAGTAGAACATTCAGAAGTCTAAATCAAATTAAAACTTTTCCGTGGGCAAAAGTAAAAGGAAATTGTCTCTGGTTGCTGAACACAAACAAAATACACATCACTACTCACACTTGAGATTTGACGATATCTGAGTGAATCTTTGCAACTCCATTCACTGCGTGAGAGCCCACAATGCAGAGGTGGGCCATGTTAATACGCTTGACCCCTTCCTCTTCAATCAAGGACATCCGCCTGAGACGGTCAACATCCGTGGGAAACAGGGCTCTGATTTTCTGAGTATGTGTGAAGATGAAAAGCAACATCAGTTAATCCTGTTCAAGTGCATTCCCAACTATTCAGTTCAGCTTGGATTTTTAGCAAGAAAGGATCCTTGGACTAACCACATTTTAAAGGCAAATGCTATGCAACATTTTTTTTCCCATTTCAATATGGCTACCTGAACAAAGATTTCTTGACTGAATCAAAAGCATAATCCAACTTTTCCAGCTTGAAAAGGGCCTTGGGGTGGGGGAGAGTGAGTTTTCATAAAACCGTTCCTTTGTCTTTTTAAAAATTCATCCAGAAAATAAACAGCTGTCAGAGAATGTTTAATAAAACCCTACTTACGTCCAAATGCCTCTGATTGATTTCATAGATAATCTGCAAGTGTCTTGGAAGCAGCTTCTCCACCAGCTCAACTGGCCAACGCTCAAGAGCTTCAGGGAGAACTGTGTGGTTTGTATAAGCAAAGGTCCTTGTGGTGATATCCCAGGCCTTGTGTTTTTGAAGAGAAAGATAATAAGGCAAACTGAGAAAAACAATTTATGCGTTTTCTTTAGCATCCTCTCCCAACTACCACTGCTAAGCCACGTACTGCCTACTTTGTATCTGAGCATATTGTTTTCTTACTAAAATGCAGAAATCTTACATTACATTTCTCACTATTGAGAACTGCGCATATTATTAGATATCAATAGTCTTCTGAACCCACAGCCTGTCTTCTGGAGTGTCAGCCAACCCTCCCAGCTTTTTGTTATATGCGAATTTGATAAGCATCCCTTCTATCTTCTTGTTTAAATCATATTGATAATGTTGAACAACACTAAATCCAGGGCAGAACCTTGGGATGCCTCACTACACACCTGCTTGAATGTAGACATAGATCCATATGGTTCGACCAACTGTAAAATCCATCTGGTAGCAAGACCATCCATTCCAAAGTATTCCATTTTATCATGAAAGTGGCTATGATCAACTTTATCAATTGCCTTAAGACAGTGATGGCGAACCTTTTAGAGACCAAGTGCCCAAACTGCAACCCAAAACCCACTTATGCATCGTCGTGTGCCGGGTGGGTGTGGCTCATTGGGTGGGTGTGGCCCATTGGGTGGGCATGGCTGCGGTGGTAACAGCAGACTGAGTGGGACTAAAAAGTTCAATCAATCAATTCCAACTTTGCAAGATCTTTTTTTTCCTGCGAGAAGTTGAAATTGACTGATTGATTGAACCTTTTTTTTTTTTTGCACACGGCGGCAGAGGCCTAAAGCGAAAAGGTTTTATAAAACCCAGCTGAAGGCCTAGAACTGGGTGACGGCGTGCGTGCCCACAGAGAGGGCTCTGAGTGCCACCTCTGGCACCCGTGCCATAGGTTCGCCACCACTGCCTTAAGAAGTCTAAATATTATTTATTTATTCATTTGATTTCTATAGCCGCCCATCTCAGTCAAGTGACTCTGGGAGCCTTACAAGTCTATAAAACAGTCCAAACAATAAAAACACCCAAACAGTACCCCCACAGCATTTCTCATTTCAGGTGAGAGCAATAACGAAAGCTAGGAGTTAATTAGAAGAGGAGGGAGGGCTGCATTCCAGAGGTACAAAAAACAGCGAAGTTTAGATTGTCTGGGAGGAAGAGAGCCAAGACAGCTCCTTCCAAGGATTTCTCGGAGTATAATTTAGTGATACAAGTGGTTTGCTTTAGTTTGGCATCTTTGTTTTTTGGAGCCTGACAAAGAGCATATTATGTACTATCAACATCTCCTTTGTAGAGGTGAAGGAGGCAAAAAGTAGTATTTCTCCTCCACCACTGCGTTTTCTCGGTGTCATGCAATGGAGTTCCTCAAGTGGTTCAGGCCATTTTGAGATCTGAGCTTGGTCAAGATCACATACAGTCCCCAGTAGACACTGTGATATATAGGCTAGCTAGACACTTTGGAGGATAAAATCAAATTCATCATGACAATACTTTAGAAATATTCAGTCCCATGTCTGGCTAGACTTCTTTGGATAAGCTTCAACTGTTATAGTCTTGAGTATGCAAACAAATTGATTGAGTTTGGCAAACTACAAGTTGGCTTGCTGCTTGCTCCTCATCACTTATAGTAGGAAAAGGTTGCTCAGCTAGGGCCAGTCATAAACTTCCCCATATGAGAATGTTAATCCCAACCACATTAAATAATCATGCCTGGAAAAGGCAGAGGGCAACCACATGATCCCAAGAAGTGACGCTTTTGCTCTAAGGAGTTGGGGGCATGTGTTATGCTCATTCCCTTGCACCTCTGAAGCATTTTCAGAATCAAATTCAAAATAATTATATAAATACAAGTATATTCTATAGGGTGCCAGTGGAAAATCACTTCCCAAAAAATTAGCGTCCATGTTCCTGAAATCATTAGGAGTCAAGCTCAACTCAGAAACTTTACAATACCACTATAAAACTTTAACTCAGCCAAAGAGACTGTCCAACATTTTTTTGGCTTTTCCCTAGAACCCAAGTAATAAGGAGTGTGTTCTATGACACACGTTTAACTAGCAACTGCAGTTCTAATACATGTGCAAAGTAGGGAAATACAATGGAGTACTGTATGTGGCAGCAACTGATGCCTTGCCAACAGAGCCAAGCAGATGGCGCTAGCATGAACTTTCATGCCACAGTGGAACCCTTTCTAGGGGAACTACATACCTAGAGCTGAAGGTCGTCACCCTTAGCCTTAAGTGGTTTGCAAGGTGCCACATTCCCACCAAATTGAAAGTTGGGCCAAGTCAAAGATCAAATTTAATTTAGTTTACATCTAAATTTAATTAAAACTTATTAATGGACTAATTAATTAGTAGTTAATGGACTAATACCCTGCCTCCTCCCCATATGCATCTTCTTCCTTTTTGTTAATTTTGAAATCAATTTTAGTGCAAATATTTACTCTTTTAATGTTTCATCTTGTTGCTTTTATGATTGTAAGCAGCCTGGAGACTTTGACAGTAATCTTTGAAGTTATGTTGGAGCTGAATGCAGCCTGAAGGGTTATTGTTTTACAATAGCCCTCATCACCATGGAACTGTTATTATAAGATTATACTCTTGAGGCAAACCGGAGGGTATTAATACCCCTAATATCACTATTTCCAAAATTTTGAGATCTAAGACAATGACTGTATGATTCAGTTTACACAATATACTAGACTAGGTCAAAATGAGATTTAACATGTTGCATTAACCAAGTCATCAAATTAAGCAATTTATTTGGGCATTGCACAACTGATTTTTTTTAGGTTTCAGCATATTTTGTAAACCAACTTGTGTTTGTCTGAAAACTGGAAATGGGAAGCAAAAGAAGACTTGAAGCCATGGCTTCAGAATTAGGCAAGAGGCTGAATGAAATGAAGGCTCTGGAAAACAGAGCGAAGGTGGGAGTCTTGCAAACCCTGAAATAGAAAAGTGATCCCAACCTTGGACCAGGGCAGCTTCTCTATATCCAAGAACACACGCATCAACTCAGGAATAGCCATTGACGGATGTGTATCATTCAGCTGGATTGCAACCTATTGAAAACCAAGGAAAAAAATGTGTTAAAAATCCAGAGGGAAAAGTTTAAGCAGAAATATGGATTCAAATCTATCAATCTGCTGGATAATTGCAAGAAGTTAAGGAGCTAAAACTTAAATCAAGCTAATAATAATAATGATGATAAAGTTGGAAGGGACCTTGGAGGTCATCTAGTCCAACCCCCTGCTCAGGCAGGAAACCCTATACCATTTCGGACAAATGGCTGTCTAGTTTCTTCTTAAAAACTTCCAGTGTTGGCGCATTCACCGCTTCTGGAGGCAGGTTGTTCCACTGGTTAATTGTTCTAACTGTCAGGAAGTTTCTCCTTAGTTCTAGGTTGCTTCTCTCTTTGGTTAGTTTCCATCCGTTGCTTCTTGTCCTGCCTTCAGGCGCTCTGGAGGATAGCTTGACTCTCTCTTCTTTGTGGCAGCCCCTGAGATATTGGAACACTGCTATCATGTCCCCCCTCGTCCTTCTCTTCATTAAACTAGACATTCCCAATTCCAGCAACTGTTCCTTATATGCTTTGGCCTCCAGTCCCCTAATCATCTTTGTTGCTCTTCTCTGTACTCTTTCTAGAGTCTCAACATCTTTTTTACATCATGGTGACCAAAACTGGATGCAGTATTCCAAATGTGGCCTTACCAAGGCATTGTAAAGTGGTATTAATACTTCACGTGAGAACTAGAGCTAGGGAGAACAATGGACTTTATATGATTGCATGCCATTGTTATTACTATTACACATCTCCCAGAAGAAGATCTTCTTGAACAAGAGCCCTGGTTGAACTGCATAAGTAGTCAAAATATTCTCAACTTGCCTTTGTTTTATTATTTGATTTACATCGTGCCTTTCCTCTAGAACTTAAGGTAGCCCACTTAACATTCCCATCTCCAATTTTATCCTCAATCTGTGAGATTGAGTGGGGTGACAGTGTCTGATCAACATCACCCAATGAGCTTCTAAGACTGAGCCTAGCTATGATCAGGGGTCTACCTGACCCTAGCCCAGGGGTTCCCAACCAGGGGTGCGAGACGATATTCCAGGAGGTGCAAAAACTTGGGTTTTCAAAATTATAGTGAATATGCATAATTTGTTGCTGTTATTTTGAACTTTTGTAAGGGTTGCGAGAATATATCAGAAGTGTTCCAGGGGTGCGGGGTATAGAGAAGGTTGGGAACCACTGTCCTAGTCTAATATTTTCCTGACTTCATCCCACTGGTTTTCTACATCCAAGATGGCATCCCCCTTCACAACCACATTTTGCCTGCCAGATATGACATGTCTCGGCCCAATACCCCGCACCCCCAGATATATCACCCCAAAAGCAATGACCTGGTCTGGGAATGAATCAAAAGCAGTCCGGACACTTTCAGTAGTCCCAAACTTGGAAGCTTTGTACCGTCGGATGATGTCTTGTAAGGTGGCAGCTACCACAAAGTATTCCTGCTTCAGACGCAGCTCCTTGCCTTCAAAAAACTACCAGATGAAGCAAGAACGTCAGGTTGGTAAGAAAAATGCAAAGTGAGTTTGAGGAGGATCAAAATCCATTAATGGTATTTATCACATTTATAATGATAAATAAATACCTGACTGTAGGCTACATTTTCTTAAATTGCCACATATAAGCCCTTCTTGGTCCCCCAGGCATCTATGACATTATATAAGCAGATAAGAAAAGCAGTCTGGGTGTAGTCAAAACCCTCAAATTTAGTTTTAGCTACAAGGACAAGGAGAGGCTTGAAGAAAAGGTGGCATTATCTGATTGATTTCAGTAATTTCCCTCTCCCTTGCAGTGAGCCAGCAGCAGTCATCCAATTGTTGAGCCTTTGGGCAGCTATAAACAAATCAAATCTTTATTACAGTCATATGTCTATGGAGATTCTCAGTCATCCAGGTCATAGTTATCCCAAAGATGCTTTTTCATGAGGCAATTGGACTTTCTTGTTTTTCATTGAAGATGTTTCGTTTCTCATCCAAGAAAGTCCAGCTGCCTTGTGAAAAAG